AAGAGTTACGATAGCATGGCGCTTCCTGCCTCTAAAAAAATTGTAATTGGTAAAAAAAAAAAAAAAAAGAAAGAAAAACCACTCCTATTCTTATAATGGATAATTCATGGATTTTTATTATGCTTATAATTACCTTTAATTCCCAACTATAGTTAAGAATTTGATCCCTTCAAATAAAGAAATATTGGTAATATTTACCTCTATTTCAAAAGTTTCATCAATTTGATCTTTTTCCTTTACCACCAAGTTGCTTTCAAAGCTATGAATAAAAAGCCTACGTTTTCTTTTTTTTGGTCCAATAGAGGTCCTTTTGCTTTAAAATATGTTAGAGGGGGAATGGCACAGAGGACAAAGAGAAAATATTTTAAATGAAAATGATTCCAAATCAACTATTTTTCAGTTCACATCAATTTCATTTGCAAGTAATGTTGGCTGCAGTATTTAACTTTTTTGATGATATAATATTTGATGCAAAATAACCTATGTAGTTTCTCTATCCTATGTATAAGTTACTTAGTAAGCTATCTGACTTTTGTTCACAGGTGCTTTATACATTCGGATGCAGAACGAGCGAGCACAAGGTCCAAGCCAATAGTTATTTAAGGAGTTGTTAGCATTTCAAATAGCTTAAAGTGCTTTTGCACTTTGCCTAATCTTCCTACTACACAGGTTGGTCTCAAGTTTTTATTAAATGTGAGGAATTCAACAGCTATGAAACTCAAAACTATGTGCATAAGGAAAACTACCTTTACTTTTCCTGTCTCTCATTCTTTTATCTTCTTACATTCTGGGGATGCTAAAATGTTTAATATCCTTTTTCAAAGTGTTTAAAAAACTGTCAGAAATACTTTTTTTTTTTTTAAATGTTTGTTTCCCTTAAAGCACTTTTAGACAGGCAGCAAGTTTTCACTATGCCTTAGAAGAAGGAACTACAAATAGCTGGTTAAAGAGTGAGGTGGAATGGTGTGTGGGAAAAAAGGAATAGAGAAGTAAGCTCAGGAAAGCACACAGCTCAGTGCGTAAGGGAAAGGACTTCTGGTCTGACAAACCTCAGTTTTAAAGTATGCTAGCCATTTACCAGCCAAGGAGACCTTAGACAAATTAGCTAACCTTTCTAAATTGACTTACTGGTTCAATGATAGTAACAGTACTTAGCATGGGGACCATCTGAGAGAACACTTAGCACAGAATTAGCTGGTGTTATTCTTCACTCTAGCTAGTATGCTAGTATTCACTGACGAATACGAAGCAGAGAAAAACAGATACGACTGCACAGTAAAGAATGTATTATATAGAGCCTAAAATGGAAATGAAGATCAATTAGGAGGTTGTTTAGTCATCTAAGGAAGAAATCATACCGTGGCCTTATGCTAACATGTGAAGGAAAAAAAAAAAGATCGATTCTAGAGACACTGAATTTAAAATTTATAGGCTAATTGTGGCTAACTGGTGATGAAGGAGAAGAATCAGAATGACAAATTCTGGCTTGGGTGGTAGTATCACCCATTTACTGTGACTTTTGGTGAGCTGGATAAATATGGCTCTCAGGTACAAAAAAAAATTTTTGGATTTTAGATACAGACGTTGGAACCATTAATATGTATAGTATGTTAATTAAAGATATGGGACTGGAGATTATCAAAAGGGAAGTCTAGAGAAGAGGGCACAAATCACTAATGAGGAAAGCATAGACAGTATCATGAAACTAATGAGAAGAGATTCAAGCAGGAAAAGTAGTCAATGGCACTAAATGTTGCTGAGAAATCTAGTACTTACAAAAATCTATTGGTAGCACATGACACAGGGTATTTTACACTGGGGAGGGGAAAAAAAGGTATAAACAGTGATAGATGGATCTTTTCTCTTCTACCAAAGCGCTACTAACACAAAACTGTTTCGAGTTCATTTTCTCCAATGGCATACAAACGCGGAAAACCATATTTAGTCAAACAAGTTCACAGCCACATCAGTTCAAAAATTAGCATTTAATAGGTTTCGATAAAAATGGCTCTACGTTCTTTCAAGTTTTATCAACTTACTGCCCATTAAATTTTTTCCTCATATTATTTGGAGGGAAAAAAATCACTATGTTCCTCTTGAATGGCAACTAACACGGACTTTGAATACATTATTTCATCTCCAATGTAAGGGAATAAAATGCAACCATCACTGTTCATATCTTGACCCAAATACCTAGGTCAATTTAAAAGTTTTCTTCTCCTTGTAGAAAACTAGTTTCTACTCTCCCTACAAAACCAAGAAGATATTCCCTAAATCTGCCAACATAAGATCAGTAGTATTGCAGAGTTACAGTTACAGAAACCACTAAAAGAGCATCATTTCTTTACCCTGGGGTACCCAGCAAAATGTAATCAACAGCTAAACTTGAAACAACTTTCACTACAGTATTTACAATTATCTTTATCTCTATTTGGTAGCAATAACATTACATTTTATTAAGACAATCAAATTACATGTCAAATTGCCAATATTCATGATATAAATATGGAAAATTTTAAACTTCTCTCTATCCCAAATGTTCCAGACACCAAAGTATCTGAAAAAAAAAAACAAACCATAAAAGTAGACATTAAAGAAAACCTTCCCCTGAAACAAACACAACAACAAACATACCAGCATTAGCTCTGAAAGTCAGAGATACTAAATTATCAGTTAACTGAAATAAAAGTTGACACAAAATAAGTTAAATTATTTAAATTGCAAAATGAGCTAGACTAACTCAATACCATACATGCTCAACTACTGGTTGCATCAATGAGTTATAGCTCAGCCCATGGCTTATCATTACTCCCCATTTCCAAGAAAAATTAGGATTGTCTTTGATTTTAACACAACTTAAGTTTATTCTGGAACATTACTCATTTATAAGCCAGTTACGCCTATTTCATTTAACAGACTAGCTAGTAAGAGTATACACAATCCGTGGTCAATGCCAACAAAGCATGCTCTTAAAGACAAATAGAAACAACGTATGTCTAGCACCACTGTATGTGTGTAAAGTTAAGTTCTTACCTTTAACTGAAACCTATAAAATACTGGAAAGATGCTAATATACCATTTCAAAGCCTGTAATTATTCATAACAGTTATCTGTTTCCGAAGCGTAGTTTTAAAAACTCAAAATTAAGAAATGCACAAATAATGACAAAGGTTATTCATACATGTTTTTGAGGCAGGTAAACTAAGGTTAACTGGCGCTACTTCAGTCTCCTCCTAAAAATGTTTCTGATATATTTTCTTGAAAGAAAATATTTCTTCTGACATGCGCTTACCAGAAGAAAAAGAAAAGCCAGCCTGAATAACAAAGCCAGTATAAAACATTAAGCCCCATACTTACTAATAGCAATACATACAAATAAGTATATGAAATATCTAACAGAGATACAACTGCTCACTTAAGTGGGTAAAAGTTTTTCTAATTTCCTTCAGCTGATTTTCATATCCAGAAAAATTTATTTATATCCATCTACATCTTGGAAAATGGTGTTGAAAACAGGCTTTCAGGCAAAAACTAATCAACAAGTCAGAGAGCTCCATAGGCACACTTTAACAGAACATTTCAGGCTACACATTAGAAAAACTTTGAAGCACATTCTGCTGGTGTCGATATAAACTGGTGTAACTTTTTAGAAAAACAATTTGGCCAGTGAAGTGTTCATATCCTTTGATCTAGGTAAGGCCACTCCAGGATTTTTCCAAAAGAAATCTTTTTTAAAAAGGAAAATATTTTACAGCTACACACAGATGTGTGTTCAAAGCAATACTATTAAAAATGACAAAAAATTAGTAACCTAAAAGTAGACAAGTCAAAAAACTAGGTCAATTAAGGTCACATCAATTTAGGAGAATTACATAGTTACTGAAATGAAAACACGATAGTTAAGTGAAAACATAAAACTGCACGAATTCATAATTATTGGAAAAATGCAAGAATATAACATAGAGAAGGGAACAGGAAAAAAATGAGATGACCAAACAATGATCTTCTGGTGGGTAGATAGGTAACTTTTTTCGATTTCATTATTATTACACTATTGTTTAAGCAACAGATACAGCAGAAAAGCATTAATTTAAAAACCTTTGCATAATCCGGAACAAGCAGCATAGCAAAAACAACAGCTGAAAATGCTTAGCCGGCATTTGTTCTGATTACTGTAATGATTATTGCAATTTATACCTTAATTTCTATGAGAACAAAGAGCAACAATATAAAGAAAACAGTCTCTAAAAAAATATTCTTGTACTGAAATACACTACAATTACTTCATAAATAAGAAATATAGAAAGAATCAGATACTTCAAAAAAAGTTTTAGTAGCCTACCTATAGCTTTTAAAAATATAAATCCTGTTTCAAAATGTTAATTACTTATCTCCACCTTTGAAAGAAATGAAGAGTGAATGAAGAAGAAAGCAGTTTTACTTTGTTCATCAATGGCCTTTTTGAAAACAAAGCTAAAATTATGAGCATATTAAAAATGTCAACATATTGTTAAAATATACTGAAATTAAAAGGGGGATTGTGCCGGGGTTAAAAAAATTAAACAGTTGGCATTTCAATTTATTAAAAAAGACTTATTTAAGCCTATCACATTTATCTTTCAGCAATTTAACATTTTAAGTTTAAGGAAAATGACATATCAAATGAACCTCCTCAAGATGTCATTTATAAAAACTGACAACTGACTGTTCGAACAACCAATCCCAAAGAAAAGCCTGTTATTGAAGATGATTTGGAGTCTAAGATTTTTTGATGACACTCATATTCTGAACTAAAAATAATGATAGGAGAAAGTCAAGTTTGATTCTCTGAACACCTATTTCCTGTCCAAACAGCCCTTTTGTTCTGCTTCCCTGCTTAATTTTAGTGTTCAGTTTGCCTCAGAAAATAAAAACAATGACAAAACCTAGCACACACAGAATCATAAAGGAGCAAAATTATAAAATAAAGGATCATAAAAAGATTAGAACAAAAATCCTACCAACAAAACCTCCACAATTTTCTGTTTGCTTCACCTCAGATTAACTTCACTTGAAGCTGTACTCCAAAGCAACCAAACCTGAGTACCAAGCTCCACCTTCTCCAATTCTAGTGGCTGAAGAGTAAAATCTCCTCCCTGTTAGTGAAACTGGTAATTGTGATTGGATACTACTAATATCCATTATTTTAAAGAACTTTTCCTTGCTAGCAGGTTAGGTTGGACACACTAAAACCCCCTGGATAAGCTGGTTTCTTAAAGAAACAGTAGATAAGGTTTCAGTTTTCCCATCATATACTGTTTGCTTACCCTTGTCTAGGTGAAAAATAAACTAAGTAACATAAATGAAAATCTCACAGAAGCAGCTGTTACCAATTGTTTAAAATACAACGCTTTTAATCGAAATCATTTGATTATTTTTTTGGAATAATGAAGGTGAAGTTATGCTTTAAAGACAGATTTTTTTTAATAGAGTTCACATTTTACCTGAAAATTGTAAAAGGGCAACAGAAAATTCATTACAATATGTTGCTAAGAGGAACAAACTAATGTTTTTTCTAAGACTTAAAGAGAAAACTATAACTTAAGTGAAAATATACAGCACTAAAATATTGAATGCAAAAGATTCATTTCTAAGCTGTCTATCAAATTCACTGACACTTATGTTCTCAGTATCACAACAGAGTAGAAATGTTAGTGACATCAAAGGTTGATATTTCTACTTAAAACTGAAGACTGGGCAGAAATATTATTACATTTAACAGATACGACATGTGAGTATTTTGCCAACATTAATGCTTAACCATTTGCAAACAGAGATCTAAAAGCAAAAGGCACATGTTCTAATGACCTGTTCAAGTATAAAATTTAGAAAAGTTTAAGTCTTTTTCATATATTTTTTTTAATGTGTGGAAACTACTTTGCACTCTATAACTTCAAAGTGGCATGGGCACCCTAAAGTGAAAGGTATATTCCTCTTAAACTTCTCACTAAGCTACATTAAATTGTATTTTTACTACAGAGATCCTAAAGAGATACTATCCAGGAACTCTGATTTTTAAGCAAAAAAGACCTACTGTCACTTTATATACTACTAGGTTTACTATTTTTACATTATACGTTTATATATTTTAATTAGAACTGCTTATGTTTTTAGCAGCTTGGCCCATCAAACATTACTCTGACATTAATCGTTACCTGACTGATTCAATGGCATTTTATGTCTAATTAACTGTGTAAGTATACTTTTTACCTCTACCAAAAATCCTGTGATTCATAAACTTGAAATTAAAGCATATTAGAGTGACTTCTTCTTAAAATATGCTTTCAATGTTTGGTTTGCATCAGAAAATAAAAACAGTGACAAAACCTTTCAACATTTTAAAGTTTTCAAAGTTCAAAATCTTGCAACTATTTTTCCCCAGAGAAAACTCACATATTAGAACACAAAGCCAACAAAATTGTTTTGAATACAAAGGGAAGTCTTTGTAACAAACTGAAAATTCACATAATTGCAACTAGACATGAATATGGAGCAATACCCTGCTGAAGCCCAAACAGCTGCATAATCTATTATGCCCTTTAAGTGGACAAATTGAAAGAGCCAATTCACAGAGGTCTAGTCCCAGGATCCTTTGCAAGGATTCACTGTTTTGAATGCCCAGCACTTCATGAGTCAAGTTCAGGTTTTCTTCCCACTGTGTGGACACTCTTGCAAAAGAACACTAGAAGCAAAGGAGGCACAGAAGCAATCAGCAAAAAAATACACAGCTTGAATTACAGCATAAGACTTGAAGAAAAGTGACTGTAGATGGCCAAAAGTTTTATGAAAAAAAAAAAAAGAGTTGGCAAACATTTTAATCTTAAAATCTGGCAAGCATAAAATTAGTAGACAGTTATGGAAACCAAATAAACCTTTGCTCTCGCATCAATTTTTCACTTCAAAGTTAATTATGAAACAAACACGAATCATACACTAATATAACACCAAGACCACTCTCAATCTATATATAACCAAGAGAAAAGAGAACTGTGTACTTAGTGAATCCAGATTGTTTTAAGATCTCTGGGACCTGCTTGAAAGAACATCAAGGTGATTATCATTTTAGGTAGCAAACAGGTTAAAATTAAGAGTAGTTTATTCCATTTCTAAATCAGCAGCAGCAGAAAACAACAGCAAAAATAAATAAAAAGAAAGCAATGTCACAACCATAAAATTTATAACCAAGATAATATGAAAACAAGGAGCCTGCAAAAAGCTCTGAAGCTCCCTGACTGCATGCAGTAACAACACTTTTTAAGCATCAAGTATTCAAAGGATGTATTGTACATTATTTGTGGGAGCCCAGAAAGTTTCCCAAATCTTATCAGCTAAAAACAATTTAGAAGAGAACAAACCACTGAACAATTTGATGCCACTTCATTTTTTATTAAAAAGACCCTACTTATATAAAGAATCAGTATCTAGACTATTACGAACAACTTTTAGCAGAATATATACAGAACAGGGCAAACACTTTCTTAGAATTCTGAAGGATTCTGGATAGTTCAAACTGCTCTTCCAACAAAAGAAATTAATCCTGGGCATTTTCTCTGGCACAGCTGGTGGTTTATTGTAGTAGATGATAAAAAGACCACCCTGACATTAGCAAAACATGACTGGGATCACTAAGGATAAACTGAAAAACACCTCAATGGGGAATAAAAAATTTAAAAAATATGGCTGGGTGTGGTTGCTCACGCCTGTAATCCCAGCACTTTGGGAGGCAGAGGCAGGTGGATCACAAGGTCAGGAGTTCAAGACCAGCCTGGCCAAGATGGTGAAACCCCATCTCTACTAGAACTACAAAAATTAGCTGGGCGCTGTGGCAGGCGCCTGTAATCTCAGCTACTTGGGAGGCTGAGGCAGGAGATTTGCTTGAGGCGGCAGACACTGCACTCCAGCCTGGGTGACACAGTAAGACTCTGTCTCAAATAAATAAATAAAAATAAAAAATATTTCCCTGGCCAATACACATTGCCTACAAAAGTAAGATACATTTGAGCTTGCAATTCCTGGTGTATCTCTCCTGACTCCTTAGGGAAAAGATTACAAGGTGTGTAGGAGGAGTTGGGGAGTTTGAATGGCCTATTCAGTCAAACACTGAACACAAAGGAAACATTAAGGAAACCTACAGATAAGAAAGCATAAACCAAGCTGATAGGATAAGGTATCTTTCTACAAAAAACACAGTAAATTGCTTTGTTTTAGGTCTCAAGGGATAAACAAGGTTATGATTCATGCAAAATAAAAAGAAACCGGGATCACAATAGTGAGACAAAAGTAAAAGAGAAGGCATTTATAATACTCAACTATCAAGATTTTAGGAGTCATACATTTTCATGTGCCAAATAACATACCATAGATCATCTAAGAAAAAGTGCTAGACATAGAAAAACGAAGAGAAAATAGACTGGCCAACTTTAAATTCCCTCTCTCTCCTTGGAGGCCTAAACCAGAAAAAAATAAATATTACATAAAAGACAAAGACTAACTCTTATAGCTACCAAAAGAGCTTTTCTCAACCAGTTTAAACAGTCACAAAGAAAACGAACAATTCTGAAAAGCAAAAGTTGAATAGGTAACATTCTCCGTGAACTATACAATAACATTCAAAAGTTAACAGTTAGTTTATTCATTCACCAAATCTTTTGAATGTCTATTATGTGCTGAAGATACTACAGTAAATAAAATGGATATAGTCCCTACCATTATAGAAACTTATGGTCAAGTCAGACCAGTGCTGTCGCACAGAAACATGAGGGCCACATGTGATTTTCTATTTTCTAGTAGTCACATTGAAATATAAAAATTGGCTGGGCACAGTGGCTCACGCCCGTAATCCCAAGACTTTCAGAGGCCAAGGCAGACAGATCACTTGAGCTCAAAAGTTCAAGACTAGCCCGGGCACCGCAGTGAAACCCCATCTCTACAAAAAATTTAAAAAATTTTTTTAAATTATCTGGCCGTGGTGGCGCGCCTGTAGTCACAGCTACTTGGGAGGCTGAGGTGGGAGGATCCCTTGAGCCAGGGAGGTTTAGACTACAGTGAGCCAACATCACACCACTGCACTCCATCCTGGGCGACAAAGGCAACACTATGTCTCAAAAACAAACAAACAACAACAACAAAAAAAATTAATAGGCCAGGAGCGGTGGTGCTCGCCTGTAGTCCCAGCTACTTGGGAAGTGGAGGCAGGAGAATCACTTGAACCCAGGAGGCAGAGGCTGCAGTGAGCTGAGACTGTGTGCACTTCAGCCTGGACGACAGAGTAAGACTCCGTCTCAAAAAAAAAAAAAAATTGTTTTAATTAAAAAAAAAACAGTAATAGTATATTTTAACACAATATATGTAAAATATCATTACTTCAATATGTAATCAATATTTTTAAAATTGAGATATTTTCATTGTTTTGTACTAGAAATCAAGTTCCTATTTCATACTCAGTACATCAATTCAGACTTGCCACATCTCAATAGTCAGATGTGACTATTTAAATAAAATATGGTAGCCATTAGCCACAGGACTATAAATTAAGATAAATACCTATTATTGCAGAAGACTCTGTATCTCTGCTGTCCAACACAATTGCCACTAGCCACATAAGGCCACTGAGTGAGCACCTAAAATGTGACTAATACAAATGAGGAACTGAATTTTTAATATTAAATTAAATTTAAATTTATTTAAATAGCCACAAGTGGCTGGCAGCTACGGGACTGCATGGATCTGAAAGAAGAAACAGACGCTAAAACAATTCACACAAATTTAATGAACTGGAGTTGTTACAAATGTTTATGAAAGAAAAGCCCAGGCCGGGCGCGGTGGCTCACGCCTGTAATCCCAGCACTTTGGGAGGCCAAGGCAGGCGGATCACGAGGTCAGGAGATCAAGAACATCCTGGTTAACACGGTGAAACCCCGTCTCTACTAAAAAAGCAAAAAATTAGCCGGGCGTGGCGGCGGGCGCCTGTAGTCCCAGCTACTCGGGAGGTTGAGGCACGAGAATGGTGTGAACCCGGGAGGCGGAGCTTGCAGTGAGCCGAGATCGCACCACTGCACTCCAGCCTGGGGGACAGAGCGAGACTCTGTCTAAAAAAAAAAAAAAAAAAAGAAAGAAAAGCCCAATATAAAATGAGCACATGAAGCCAACAGAAAGACCTAACCTATTTTGTGGCATCAAGGAAGGATTTCTCAAGGAAATTACAACTAAGCAAAACAAAAGCATATGCAAAGGTCTTGAGTAGAGAAAACTGAAAACACAGTAGAAATAATGAAGAAAAGTAAAAGGGGTAAAATAATATATGCTATTTGTAGGAGACTGATTTGGATCACAAAATCGAAACTCCATAGGAAGGCAGGAGGGGTGGAAGCAGCCCTACCATTTGGAAAAAAAAAATAAAAGTCCCCCAAACAAGTCCTGAAACAAAGCTTGTCCCACTGTCCTCACTCAGTAAACTGCAGTCATTCCAATCTTCTGTCAAATTCAAAGTCAAGTCAAGCACTTTGCATACATGCCATTTGTGCCAGCAGTTCCCTTCACTTGGGAAACTTTCTCCAACTTCTTGATTTTAGAACTCAGAATCAGTTCCAAATTTTCTACACAGGACAAGTTTTGGAGCAGTGATCCAGTTGGAAGATGGGGAAGAGGCTTGAAACTGTTTGCAAAGCAATTTTTCTTTCTCTTTTTTTTTTTTTTCACCCAGGCTAGAGTACAGTGGTGCAGTCTCGGCTCACTGCAACCTCTGTCTCCAGGGTGCAAGTGATTCTCCTGCCTCAGCCTCCTGAGTAGCTGGGATTACAGGCACCGGCCACCACACCTAGCTAATTTTGGCATTTTCAGTAGAGATGAGGTTTCACCATGTTGGTCAGGCTGGTTTTGAACTCCTGACCTCAGGTGATCTCAACCACGCCTGCAAAGCAATTTTCACAAAATATTTGGCAAAAAAACTTAGTCATTTCAGCCGGATGCAGTGGCTCACGCCTGTAATCCCAGCACTTTGGGAGGCTGAGGCGGGTGGATCACCTGGGGTCAGGAATTTGGGACCAGCCTGGCCAACACGGTGAAACCCCATCTCTACTAAAAATACAAAAATTAGCCAGGCATCAGATTACATGCCTGTAATCTCAACCACTCAGGAGGCTGAGGCAGGAGAATTGCTTGAACCCAGGAGGCAGAGGCTGCAGTGAGCCAAGATCGCACCACTGCACTCCAGCCTGGGCAACGGAGCAAGACTCCATTTTTCTTTTTTCCTTTTTTATGTTTTGATAGATTGGGAAAGCTAAAGAAACTCCCATACACACCTTGGTACCACTGATCAATTTAAATGTGACATCCTCAGAGAGACCGTCACAGATCATCCAATTAGCACCTTCTATTATTTATTTACTTCCTAGGCACTTGTCGAAATCTGAAATTCTTTATTCGTTGGTTTGTCTATATTGACAGACTGTAACTGGATGAAGGCAAGAGATCTTGTCTTGCACACAGTTGTGTCCTCAGTACTTGGCACAATGCCTAGATGGAGCAAGTACTTAAATACTTGTTGAAAAAATAAAAACTGCAACTGTAGAGGTTTTTAAATATATAAACATAAAAATATTACTCATCAAAATTTAAGTAATAGTTAAAGCTATGCTCAGAAGAACATTCAACAGCATTACATATTTTCATTATAAAACATAAAATACTGTAAAAGTTACAATTTTTTTAAGTTAAAAAATTCAAAATTGGCTGGTTACAGTGGCTCACGCCTATAATCCCAGCACTTTGGGAGGCCGAGGTGGGTAGATCACCTGAGGTCAGGGATTCAAGACCAGCTTGGCCAACATCGTGAAACCCCATCTCTACTAAAAACACAAAAACTAGCCAGGTGTGGTGGCACACCCCTGCAATCCCAACTACTCAGAGGGCTGAGGCATGAGAATCACTTGAACCTGGAGACAAAGGTTGTGGTGAGCCGAGACCATGCCATTGCACTCCAGCCTGGGCAACACAGTAAGACTCTGTCTCAAAAAAAAAAAAATCAAAACCAAAACTAATTTGAAGCCCAAAAAGAATAAACTAAAAAATCTGAGGACTAACACAGCAACAACCAAAAAAGGGGGATGGAGGACAGACTTAAATAACAAAAAAAACCACATTTGTTTACAAAATGAAAATACTATGCCCCATGTATACAAGTGTGCACTGGTACCAAATCACTGATATTTCAATAAAACCTAAAAAGAACCAAGAATATGTGCATTTAACATATGATAAAGGCAGCTTTATTTCAAGGCAACAAGTTTTTTTGTTTTTTTTTTTTTTTTAGTGGGGCCAAAATTTTTAAGGAAAAATAAAGGAAGTTATTTCACTTCACATATATCAAAATAAATCCCAGATGAACAGAAAAAGACAGATGTGAAATATGAAACTGTAAAAGAACTAGAAGAAAATTTATCTGGGCAGGAGAAACCTTTAAATATAAAAGCAAAGTAGAAGCCATGAAAGAAAGTATTAACCTAATTTTCTTAAAAGGTAAAAACCATTGCCTGTTTTTGTTTTGTTAAAAAAAAAAAAAAAAAGAGAGAGCAAGAGAAAAGAAAACACTGTAAGGTAAATGAAGAGTTAGGAAAAATATTTGTAGGCCAGGCCCAATGGCTCATACCTGTAATCCCAGCACTTAGGGAGGCCGAGGTAGGTGAATCGCTTGAGCCCA